TTAATTATATAGAGGATTTTTAGGATATTATCTCTTCGAAAATTGTTTATAGTATTTTAACGATAGTATTATCAATGTGACGTGATTATTTGGTATACATTATTATAATTTGGCATTTAAAGAGATTGGTAAATGTCTATATAAAATAATTAGTAATTTGTTAAATAATAATCAATTACGAGAAAACATTAGGTACCATATGAATAAATAAATAAAATAAGAAAATATAATTTGGTGTTTGCAGTCATATATTATAGTTATTTTCCTAAGTTTATTTACCTGTTTCACATTATATGTTTGTTGTGATTTATAATTGTTTAAGTATACGTAGTAAATTGAAATTTATAGAGGTTAACGAATCTTCAATACTAGTGGTGAGTAATCGTTTAGCGTTTCGTTTACCTTGACCACAATTTGACATATTAAATTTGTAATAATTATACATATGACACAGGTACGTTGTCTATTAAAATCAGAATATTCAATAATTTATACGTATTCTAAAAACAAAAATTCCGTGAATGGGTTCTCCATATTATGACTTTTAAAAATTTGACAAATTATTTATAGTGTACAGACCTCACTTTTCAATGACCAATTGCAATTTGTATGTGCTTCTAGCTACATATTTGGTTAAATACATTTGTTAAGAATTCTCTCCAAAAATTAATTACGTTTAGTGAAACGATTAGAATTAAAATAATAATTATATTATTACTTAATTACTAACCAATCGTGTTTGACAGGTATTATAAAAAAAAAAAAAAAAAGTAAAACAAAGAATTATGGAACTAATTGATCGAACTTTAAGATTTTTAGTGGAACTAGAGAATTACCTACTAAATGCATTATAATTATAACATAACTATAATGACTATGTTTAATCATTAATTTTTTTTTATCTAAATACAACCTTGACAATTTTTACATAGAATTTCTATCGATTGAAAATTGAACATAAACAAATCTCTGAAAATGTAAGTAATTCATAAAAAGCAATACAACGACTTAAAAAATATGGCGGAATTTATATCATGCTTATCATGGGTGTAGCGAGGGTGGGGCAGGGGGAGCACTTGCCCACCCCTGCGCCTCAAACTGAATTATATTTGTTTACACCAAACGTGTAAGTTTTACATTAAAATCAAAAATTAAATAAGATATAATTCTAAAAATAATTTAGTGGGATCGAGTGATATCTACACGTGTAATCGTTTTGACGTTTTATGTATTATCCAATGGTCTATCTGTAGATTATTAGAATTACGAGTTTAACACTAATCATTTTATGTTTTTGCCCCTCCCTGATTCAAATTTTAGCTACGCCCATGATGTTTCATCATTAGAAAGATTTAAATTTTTAAATAACAAAATATGCTTATGTGATAAAAGTTACTATAACTGACCTAAGAGCAATTATTTTTTAAATGGTTTATCAAATGGTACTCATTGATTTATTCACTAGTTAGTAATACACCGCTCGTCGTATATTCTCCACCATTAATTATTATCTTATATTATGTATATATCAAATAAAATAATATAATTAAAATAGATTTCTTCTTTTTTTTAATCATGCTTGTATTTAGGTTTATCGTATCTGATTAACTTATCTTAATCACTATATAAATAAAATATTTTTTCTTAACGTTTAACTAGGACCTATATAGATGGAAATGAAAGATAAGTTATATTACTTTTATTTCATTTTTATTTCTGTTGTATAAGTTGTATTACTTTTATTTCATTTTTATTTCTGTCGTATACCTATGTAACAAATTATTATTTTATACTACTTTCTGCAAATGAAAATTAACGAAATATTCTAGTAGGTGTAATCAGTGGTGCCAGACAAAATTTTCAATGGTCAGGTTAATAACCACCCAATTTATAACCCACTCCACCCAAGAATGAACTTTAGGAGGTTATGAGTTCACCTCCTTAAAATGTTTAATTTATTTTATCATTATTACGATAACATTTAAGTTCTTACAATAGTAATTAAAAAAATGGGCAGTATTAAAATTTATAATTAATTAGATTTATTCACTCATTACTCTTATACTTATGGTACCACCCACTACCCTATAATTATGATCCGGTCACGACCACATATAAACTCTGATTTCAGCGCAACTTAGTGTAGTCTTTATTTTGTTTCATCAAGTGTTTGAATCGTTTAGTGTAATATTTAAACATAATTAATTTATCCAGTAAAAATCCTGAAATATTATGGTTTCAAATATTATTCCTTTGTTTTTTTCATCGTATTTATTTGTACAATTTTGAGAGCAATGATAAAAATAATCGTGTTCGAAAAATATTCTAAGTGAAGTTCGGTGTATAGCAGTATTTCCATACTCTTCAGGGTATTTAATATAATATATTTTCTTTTTGAGTACACTATAATTCAACCCTAATCTTGAAGCACTGCATTACTATGTACTTTAAATGAGTATTTCTGTTTAAGAACCATATGCTTATATTCAGATTGAAAACAATGGATGATGTACGTGAAATTAAAATCGGTGGTGTGGTATCGATATTTTCTCGTTTTTATAACAATAAAACACGACTCTGCCTCGACAGGTTCGTGAAGAACGGACATGAACATGCTAAAAAATTACTTTTACAATGCAATTTACCTAAATAAACAAGTTAGATTATTTTTCACGATAAACAAATATTAAATGTTGATTCATTTTACAGTCACGATAAGTTATTATTATTATTATTTTCTTAAAATTAAATTCAAGAAATTCCAATTAAAAACACATATTTTTTTTGTATTTTTAATAAAATTATTTGGAATTATTATCGTGGAAGTGTTGTATGCACTATTCCTGGGAGGATAAAGTTTTGCAATTAGTTTTTTTTACTGACTTATGTGTTACTTTATTTCTTTCTTATTTAATTTGTGACTTTTACAGATTTGAAAATATGAGAAAACTGCTAGTTTAAACTTTAGTTGCATTTATCTAGGGTATCATAGATTAACGAGTAAAAAAAAAAAAAATTTCGTTAACTAGCCCATCCTTGGGGATTGCACACCGTCAGACGTTTAACACGGTTGTTCTGACCACGACAAGCGGAATTGATAAAATCTGATATTCCGCCCGGTTGAACAATACCGTGGCGACGCGCCCAATAGTCATTTTTGGCGAACGTACACCGTGTACACGTCAAGTATCCATCCAAATATCCACGGTCACCGTGCATACTTACGTCGATGGTGGTGGTTTTTGTGTTCTAATTGTACAAAACTTGCACGTCCGACACAGGTATAACCGTTGGTCTTATGATAATATACTTGTATACAGTGTGCATTGTAAAACCAAGGGTATAGAACGCGCGCACGGTATATTATACCATAATTTCGGAACTCGTTTGCGTCCGAAATAATCAAACTCGGTCAGGTACACGTAGGTACAATATAATGTAGCGTACAGGAGCGTGCCTTAACATTTTTTCCAGGCGCGGGTTCAATATTTTTACTACCACGTATTTCAAATGTATTTATTTCACTAGAAAATAGTTTTGGTAGCAATTCATTTTATAGTACTAGATGGACATACGATGGACTATAAAAATAACTCTAGCTTATATTTATGATATTAAACTTAAATTGTATTAAACAATATTTTTTTCTGAATTCGTTAAAATGTCGTGGGGAGCGGATGAACACTCAAATCCCCTAGTCACATCTTTGTTAGCGTATAATATAGAGGTACCAAGTGTCGGAGCCTAAGATTTTTAATTTTTTCGATATATACACTTTGCATTAAAAACAAATACCTGAAGCCTGGGACGTACCTTGCGGTTAAATATGAACCTAAATTAACCTTCTGCAAATCTATTATAAACGTTTATTGTAGAAATTATAGTTCAACCATTTTTCTTTTTGTATAAAACGATTTTACGGTACATAAATATTTTTTTATTTCGTAACAGTTTTATTAATTCCAATGAATTTACTAAATACGATTGGTATGTACATGGTAAACGATGTATTATCGCTGGAGGTGATGTTAGAATGTTGTCCGGAACGTCATGCCAGATGTCACACCCCGTCGAGTGAAAAGTACAAACGAGTAAAACGTTTCCCGACAACATGATTTGGCTGTCGTCGTAAAACCTTGGTCAAAATCATAGAAAATATTTTAATAAAAACCGAATTCAAATATTTATAGTAGGTACTCACGATTTTAGGCCCTGTCAGGTGTATAATGTATAAGCCGGTGACCACGGACTTGAAGAATTCAAAAGGTTTAACGTACGTTTTAAATAAGCTTACGTGGCATCGTCGTTGTTGAATTTGCTTTACAGTTAAAGATGAGACTATTATATACTTTCTGCAAGCATATTCAAATCTATACGACAGAAACGATGCGAGTTGTTCACTGTGCAGTTTTTGCGATGCCAACGAATACGATTTTTCAGTGTGTCGTCGGCCGTATCAAGCGTATAACGTATAAATTGCGAGTTCACGATTTAAACAATATTAACGTATAAGTAGACGGACGATGCTCGTTTCCACCAAAAATGTATCATTCCCTTTTCTACCAATATCCGTTTCCATCAAATGAGATATTGACCACGTTTTTACCAAAACAATTGTATACTACGCTTAATTTAAAAGCTATAGCACAGAAATAACTTTATTTAACATAAACTATTAATTCAATAAATGTAAAGGCATTATATAATATATGCAATATATATATATATATATGCGGGTGTACACGGTCGTCGTTGGATCAGCCCCTTAAACCTTTCGCGTGCGCAACGTGCATACCAATAGTATTATTCCGGTCGAACATGTAAATTACAATAATAATAATATTAATAGTTTTATAAATAAGAGATAATAATTATAATAATACATACCGCGCACGGACGGCGGAATGGATAATGCGAAATTGATAAAAAAAAAAAATTAAAAAAAAATGGTCACACTGCGTCCTTCTGCGCACTCCTATCCGCGGTTGACGCGGCGACGGTACACACGACAAGTGCCGCCACCGGTTGGCGGTTGCATAATTCCGCGGTCGTCGCGTGGCCGCACAAGACCGAAACTCCGTCACTGCACGCGCGACAGGTGTGCGCGGCCGCCGCAGTCATTCGCCCGACGTGTCCAGACGCGCGCGCGTGGTGTCTACGCGGTCTCCACTGTCCGGTCCGACCATAACCACGACGATACGATTGTTATAAAGAGTTACCGCCGTATCGCACGCAGCCGCCGCCGTCCGACACACACCACGTCCTTCCGTGGTCATGTGAGAAATCCGTTTCCCTCGTCGTCCTCACGAGCTCGCTCACACTCCCGAACCCACGTGTCGTGCATCGCGTTCCCGATAGTAAGTACCACGCACCGGCACCGAACACCGAACACCGGATACCACCGGGTCGACAGCGGGCCGCGATCGAAACGCGCGACATGATCAGCTCGTTTCAGAACTTCTCCGGGACCGTGCCGCCACCGCTGTACAGCCACCCGACGGTGTACGACCCGGTGCGCGGCCAACATCAGCTGCACCCGGCGTACAGTGCGGTGGCGGCGGCGGCGGCGGCGGCGGCGGCAGCCCAGCGGAGCGTTTTTACCGCGTCCGGCCAGCGCCCGGTGCCCTACCACCAACAGGAAGCGGATTACGGTCCGTCGCCCTACACGCCGCCGTCCAGGCGCTACGAATCAGACAGGTCGCCCGTAGCCGTCGCTACGCCGGACCCGCCGAACCGGAAGAACGCGCCGCAACAGCCGCTCACCCCCATCCAGTACACCAGGGTCCAGGGTGGAGTGTCCGGCGGTACGATAACACGATTTAGCACTGTAGCGCTAAAATATTATACATAATATGTGTATACAGAGTGGTCCACATGGTATTCCGCGGACTCGTATGACCTTTTATCTTAAGACCCTTGCAAACCACTTCAGTTTTTTTTATATTGTTGTAACAAACATTCCATAAAAAAATAACCGATACCTTTAGCGATCGTACAGAACTTTTAAAAACAGTTCTGATATGATGTAATTTGTAATGGCCTTAAAGTATTTAAACGGCCGTACTAAAATATGTACCATAGCAATGATGAATTACAAATATGATATTGAAAAAGTCATTAAACTTTTACCAATTTATTAATCACCCATTAAAAATATCGGGATCTACCTATATATAAACTTACGTTAACCATAATTATGAAATCAATTATACGATTTTCAATCTCGATACTTCCAAATTTTTTCCAATTTACAAGAGTAGAATCAACATAAGAATGGCTACTTCGTAATGTTATTGAAATAATAATTTCAAAAATAAATTTTCCCGATCAGTTAAGGGATGAAAATACTAATTTGACTATAAATATTTACTGTATTGAATTTTATATCAAACTGTACTAAAAAAAAAAAAATAATAATTCTACGTAGGGACCACCCTCTATTAATATACGATATGACACATTATTCGAGTAACAAATACAAACGAAATAATCGAGTTTAAGTAGGGTAAACATGTACCGCAGTTTCACCAGCGAGTTTGCGAATTTCATCCCGTAAACAATTTTAATTTCTCCCGGAAAAATTTAACTCCACACTTTTGTTAATGCATAGATTGTTTTTTAAACGCTGGAAAACTTATCATCGCTTTAATTACCAATTGTTTTTTTTTTATATAATAATATAATGAATTATATTTGTTTTATGTATATAATTCATACGGACACTAATTTCAACAAAATTATAGTGTATTATAATTCAATACTTCAGGCTAAATTAACATAAATAGGGGCGTATTTATAAGGGGGTGAGAGGATTCGCGTCCAACCAAAATGAAAAACACTATTGTTAAAAATTGTAACTTTTGCCATGGATATATATTAAGGCTGGGGGTTATTTCGAACATTTTTCACAACACAGAGAATGTTGCTTTGCGATAATTTAAAATTTTATATTTATAAAATATGTTTATTATTTTAATAAAACATGTGGTGAAATTTGTGTGACTCTCATAAAAAAATTGTTTATTACAATGTAGTTTTTATATTTTTTTTAAATTATAAATCATTAAAAAAAATAAAGTTTCTTATTTCTTTGATGGTGTAAAGATAGTCGAAAAATCTTATAGTGTTCAAGTAATTTTTGTCGTATAGTGTGCTTTCTCCTTCCCTTCAACACAAAAATCAAATACATGATCGGCCCCCTTCGAAACGAAAATCTATATACGCTACTGAACATAATATTTAAATTTATAAAAAACATTTGTAAATTATACTTTAGATTAGAGATTGATTTTAGTATCGGCCCCGAAAGTCTAATGACCGCCTACATGAATGTTCATATTATCATCATCGTTCGACATGAAATTCTTCGTATCGATCAAACCCTGTAAGAGAAACTTTCTACCGTTTTTAAAAAATTATTTAATTGCGGTACACATGTAAATACTTTAACAGAAAAACTATAAATAATACACATTCAGGAACATGTCTTATATACCCGAAGTGAACTAAAATAGTAATCTAATAATTGTTCGGATAATATTCATGAATAATATACATTCAGTTGCCCTAAGAAAAAAAAAATGTTTAATTCGAGTCAATATGACTGTGTACTGCAGTATCATACAGAGTTGATTTTGTTTTGAAATGTACGATCTTAATAATTAGATGCCAGTGAAGTGTGTAAATTGAATTTCTCAAGTTTTTTTTTTTAATTGCTATGTACTCTAGATTTTGTGTATGAAAGCTTCAAATTATCATCTGTATTTTGCATCGAATTCCTCCGCTAATCTATTTCGCATTGATGAATGACAAATAAACATGCAACTATAATTAGACTAATTGTAGTGCATTAATATTTTGCATGCAATTAGTTTGCGCATTGATACTTACTACTTAGTTTCTAAATTGTATTACCTGCCAATTAGTGTAATAATAATATGCACTAAGTTGGTGAAATTGAAATACTGTAAAATTTCAATTACTATTAACTCAATCGGTACAGCTGCAGGATTATTGTTGCATAAACTTTGGTAGTTTTATTTTATTTTTTGCAATTATGAAACACAACTTGTTTTGATTTGTTAAATTCTGTTCCCTAAAACTCAAAATAGACACTTAAACCGGTACAGTACACAATGGTATAATAATATTCAGTATAATTATTATACAACACTTCGAGTATTGAGTGCACAACTATTATTAACAATTCAATAAAGTATTTTAATTACGAGGAAACGTAGCTTCTTTATGAGTATCATCGCCACTTTATACTCGTATATCCTAGTTTCGATTAAATTCATGAATCATTATTAGTGTAGGTATTTATATTCAAATGTATTTCAACAAACACATTAAGCCATATCGTTTCTGTGAATACAATTATTAATAAGCTTTAAACAACAATTTATGTAATTATTGTACTGTCTATATAGGTTCAGTAAAGATAAAGCGTCTATTATTTTGAAATGTAAAAATTTAACTGACCTAAAGGAAATCAGAAAAATCAATTAATAGTTACTTACATATTTAATAACTTCAAAAAATGTCGGATTTATATACGAAATTTTCACATGGTTAATTGGGTTGATGTGTTTTTTAATTTAGGTAAAACTTCAATACACGCGGTGTTGGATTACGATGATGATATAGAAGAGGAAAATATAGATTATTATGAAGACACATATAGTCACCGCGCAGTAACGCCAATTCAGGGTCCTATATTTTTAAGAAATGGTTCGGTACCGGTTGTACCATTGTACGGTTACCAAAAAGTGAGCAACGGATCTTTGCTACAGATTCCGGTTAGTATGTTATTTACATATCGATCAACTATATAATTGTAGAGGTTATACATGTCAGCTGTATACGCAACGAATAAACCTATTATATTTATAAAAAAAATTACTTAACAAATGTTTGAAATTGATTTGGACCTAGCCCAATGAATTCATTATGTTTTAATTTGAATATTATTTAAAGCGTGTGGGCATTTTGAATTTGATATTTATTTAATTTAATTAAAATTTCTATCACTAAACTTTTAATTATAAATGGTCTCTTAGGGGCGCTTTATAAGTTATTATGAACTAATAAAATATTAGTAATATTATAATGAAAAAAAATATATAAAAATTAATTTCTAATAATTTTAAGTTGAAGAATATCATCATAAAAATATAATCCAACGTTTACACATAAATTGTGTATTATGTACTCATATTTATAATACGAATACTGGTAACATAACACACTGCTTTAACATGATAATTATTGACTGAAATTTTTATTAATTACATAAATACACGTGTTAAACTAGTGCCAGAGAGTATATATAATATAATAGATATACATTGTTATTTGTTATTGACTCAATGCTTTGCTTTTTTAATGATAACCAATAATTATAAGTATTATGGTAATCATGACCTAGTTCAATATTAATTATTTAGCTACTGGATATTATAAGGAAAATAAAATATCATAAAATCCAATATCCCAGAGTGACAGCGATATGAAACGTTCATGACAATATTGCATAATAATCACACGAGGTCATCCGGGATAGGGCAGGAGTAACGTGTTTTTAAAATAATGTTTTGGGTAGTTTTGGATATACAACCATATATCTTTCTTAACAACACATAAAATACAGTGAAAGTAGTCCAGACACAATTATAATGTATTCATCAAGTACAGTTCCATGCGTCATTTATCTAATTTAAACATAACGCTATACGTATTATTATTATTATTATTATTGCAGTTATAAATTATAACCATATTCCTGCTCGTATGTCATGTGCACTTCTTTATTCGATTTCAATTTTATGCATGGATAACTTCCAAAAGTATAAGGCGTATTCAGATTTTGAATGAAACAATAGAAATACGTTTGATTTTAAATCAAAAATTCAACAAGCCTGCCTATACAACATGTCTATTATTAAAACAAAAATATCAAGTTTGATCAATTAACTTTTTAATAACTTTTAAATGCGTCATGATTTTAAATCATATTACATTTTACAAGTATAAGATTATGCTTTGCAAATAATGACATTTCTTAAATTATAATTTTGCACTTAAAAAATGTAATAAATTTAGTACGTAACAGATACGTGAGTATGGAATATATTAAAATATTAGGAACAACTAAAATGTCGAAATATTACTTTAATTTGTGTTAAGTTTAAATTCCCATTGCTCCCTTGTACATTAAATATCAAATATAATAAAGAACCTACTAAATTATTTATTTTTAATATTTTTTTATTTTTTTTTTAATGTTTAGTAGCTATATTTTTTTCGACAAAACATTTCGTACAAATAAATTAGGTAATATTAATTTAATATATATAAATAAATGTCTAAAAGTATTTAATTTTCTCATTAACATTAAAAACATATAATTGCTTTAAAATGTAATCCCATGATATTAAGTAATAAATAATATATTCTTCGTTTTAAAATATTTTATCTGATCATCATAAATATATTTCGTATAAATAAATATAAGGACATTAACATTCACTTGTTAGGAGCATGACAAAAAAAAAAAAAGATTAGATGATTTGGTGGACTTCTCAATGCAGGTTCCATAGAAATCAGTCTCGTGCAACTTCAATAAAAACAAATATGGCTCTGTGCCCAATTGTTTTATTATGTCTACGATGTAATTGAATTTTAATGTGAATTTTCTTGGTGTTTTTTTTTTTAAGTTTAATGCAATATGAAATATTAGGAACTAGGAAGGTATATTGTAAATAGGTATTTAATTTAGTGTACTTAACACCGAAAGAAAATAATTTTAAAGATATTTTTATTCTATTATCAAAAATTAATTTCTTAAATGCTGTTATTGATGTACAGTATTTATCTGAATTAATGCCGGTGAAGTGTGGGACTGATTTAGATAAGGTCGTAGGGAATCTTGTACCCGCGTTTACATGTCAATATAAAAATCGCTTATTTAAACTAATAATCGCGGTGAATAAAAATAGAATTATAGTAGTACTTTTCCTTGGTTCATCGTACCGACCGATTCAAAAGAACTTTAAACATTTTTTTAAAAATATTTTACACTATCATAAAATTTACATGAAATCGTTACTGATTGTACAGACATTTTTGATAATTTATAATCTAATGATTAATCAATTTATCAGATTAATGCATACATTTTTATAATGTCTATTGTTTTAAGTAAATTTTGTAACACTTTTGTAAATTAATTAATATGTTAACTAAATTAATAAATATGTAATTAATTTGTAAATTTAAAAGTGGAAGATGTATAGCATAAAGACGAAATTATTAAGTATATAAATTCTGTTTTGAAATTATTTTCACTCATTATATTGATCTAGTACTGTAACGATAAGGCTTGGGTAATTTTCTGTCAAATTATAAAAAATCCATATAAATATTACACTATTATACATTGGTTGTTAAATTACCTATTATCGATAATTACAACTTCGTTTTTTAGCGGTAAGATTATTGTATAATTTTTAGCAAGGATTAACATAATTACTGATTTTCACTAACCATATTATAAGTGAACAAGTACAACATCTTCGAACACGTTATTGAAAGTGTATTTATATTAGTCTACAGTGATACAAAATTATATCATATATAAATGTTTTTACAAAAACTTAAATGTCTATGTCAACTGTGATTATTAAAAAAAAAAAAAATGTAAAATTTTAATCAGACTGATTAGTTTTGTAGTACTATGAAATGCATTAAGAGTTAAAATAATAACGTTTGGTTGGGACAAACATTTTACAAAACAATCATTTATACCTAATACGTCAAATTCCCGAGTAGCCGTGTATATATAAATAACTTTATTGATATAAATATATAAATATAGTGGAGAGCTCACCTTGTGAGTTGTCTTACGACAGAGTTTACTGTTCAACACAATTGTACATAGCTTATAGGGTTTAAAATGTATATGTATATAGGTAAAATAAAATAGTTAAGCAACACAAAGCTATTTGATCTTTATTGATCTATTAACTATCATTATATGGTGTTGTACCTAAATAGATTATACGTATATAAATATTATTAAATTGGATTTCATAATAATTATTTATTGTTTGGTTGGAATAATACGTAGAATATATATACTTTGTTTTAATACACGTTACAATATTCAATCATTTGCATATTTAATAGTAAACGTGATAAATAAAAACAATACACAGTTAATCTATTCATAAAATTAAATATAAAATATCTGTATAGAAACACTACAGTTTACAGAGTTATGCAGGGGCGGACGCAGAAAAAAATTTCTGGGGGTTTTGAAAAAATAAGAATAACTACCGTCAGGCCAGAATTTGAAAATTTGGCGCCCTCGGGCGTATTATTTATGCCCCTCCCCCGAAAAAAAATTAATAATAATAATATAACACTTATTATTTCGACCATAATCGAAATTCTTTAATATTAAAATATAGCTTATAAATGAAAATTATTTAATACTTTTTTTAATTAACAAATGAAACAAATTATAACATAATAAAACATACTATTTTCTTTTTTTTTATTCTTTTATTCTATTTTTCATTAGGTACAGTGGCGGATTGGCCTACCGGGATACCGGGAAAGTTCCTGGTGGGCCGGTAGTTGTATTATAACACTAGGCCGATCTACTTGGATTAAAAATTATTTTATAAAAATAATGTATTTAAGTATATTGTATTTAATTGTAAGATTCTGATAAAAAACTAGTGTAAATGTGATGTAAGCAGTTCTACAAGCATTTAATCCGTGAATAAAGGAGACTTTTATGGAAAATTATTATTATTGGATGGTGGGCCGATCATACAGTAATTTCTCGGGCCGAAATGTTTAGCCAATCCGCCGCCGATTAGGTACATCATTTTTAAAATTTATTTTGCTAAAATATTTTGCCACCCCTGAGACTTGACGCCCTCGGACATGTGCTTACCCGTGTCTCCTATAAATACGGGCCTGATTACCGTTATTTTGAAATAATTGACTATTGACTATAGTTTGACTAATGTCGATCATTATCACATAACTATACAACACAAAATATAGGGAAACCGTCAATCATAATGTACTATATAGTACAATATTGTAAATAATATTATATCGATTACGTATATTTACTTATTTTTACTTACTCATAATTAGGGCTCGGGACTTCTAGGAATTTGCATGATTTTAAATAATTATACAAAACATAGCTAAGTAATATATAAATTTGTTTCATTGCAATACAAGTTAATATTTAAAATTTATAGTTGCATATTTTGCATATTTGACCATTTTTCATTTTATAAATGCAAATTTGACAATTATTCATATGGAGAAGTAAGTTTTTAAATTTTATAAAAAAAAATTATGATTTATTTCTTCATATATCACGCGACTTGGAACTCTAAGTGTCTTATTGGTGAACTAACTGAATGCATTAAAATAATTAAAACTACAAAAAACGTATACATTCTGCAAAAATTGAAGAATCTGCACAAGCTAAGGCTAACTACAAAAAATATCGAATATTTTAAATGGAAAAATGAATCTATAGATGGATTGTCTGCAGATATTAGTAGTAGTGACCTACGATTTTTTAAGTTTGCACCAATAAGTTCCGTAGATGTGTAACTTTCCTTTTCTAAATATAAAAATATTTTGGCTGATAACAGGCAGTCATTTAAATTTTCCAACTTAAGAAAATATCTTATAGTCCAATGTAATGCTCAAGGTTAGAAGAATTATAACTATATTAAAAATAAAAAAATGTTTTCAATTTAATTTATTTTTAAAACCATTTTAAATATTTTGTTTTAGATAAAAACTCAATATAAGATAAAAACAAATTTGAAAAAAAGAAAAAATTATCTTAGATCATCATATCTATCATATATAAAAATATTATTATAATTTATTACTAATTAATTTTTTATAAATGCATATTTTAATAGCATATTTATTGATTATTTAGGGCATAAATGCATACATATTTTAAGGTTTATAAGGGCATGAAGTCCCTAGCCCTACTCATAATAAGCGACTTACAAACACGCATTATTTTTACGAAGTATTGCCATCGTGGAATTTCAAAAATTTGAGTTTTAAGTACCAATACCTTTTACAACGTTTAGAAAATTACAAATTATTACAAATTCACTTTTCTTAATAAAACATTTTTTTATCATATTTTAATCGTATTTTGAACAATTCATTTTTTTAAGGTACATATGGTAGGATAACTACGTTTGAAATTAATCATCCATTTATTTTGGGAAGGGTTTGAATCCCCAAAATTGCTTTCTGCGTTCGCCACCGAAGTTATGACTTGGTAAATCAAAAAAAACCTAAGGAATATATTTGGAATTTTTATAATTATGCTCAAAAAATTTATTAGAGATGAATAAAATTTTAATTAGTAAGTATATTTAAAAATAAAAAAATCTTATGTTATAATTTAGTTATAAAATTATAAAAAATTATACTATGGATTTTTGATAAACATTTCTTAAACAATATGAAAAAAAAAAGCTATGAAGTTACCATTAAATACATATATTATTTTTGACTGTTATATTTAAACACGAAAAAACAATTATAATAATTTTAAATATATAAATTAGTCACAACTATTAAGGAATTAATGAATTATAAGTGTTTACTTTAGGGTAGTTTCTAATTTTATTCTTAAATGAAGTATTCATACTAAATTTAACCTTGACTAAGACGTGATACTACCATATTTATCTAAACATTTTAAACATTTCATAATTTTCATTGTTCTTTAAATTATTTTCCAAACTCTCATTAAATTGGTACTTAATTAAATTAAAAACAAATATTTATAAATACATAAATAATAATCTCACACATGCATAAAAAACTTTGAACATCAATATTCTTGAATTCTTTAATTTTATTTTTTACGAAAGAAAAAAATTGTACAATTTAAATTGTATAACTAAAGCGGGTATAAAGAAGTTTATACAGCCATTGTTTTATAAAATTACATATTTGTATACTGAATAATTAAGAATTACCATATTAATATTTTAGTTTCAATGTCATTAATTAATTAATTTTTTATTTAGATGGGATTTGTATTCTTATCTGAACAACATTTTCCTATTTACTTAAAATAAAACTGTTTCAGTACATATATGTATAGTTAAAATTGAATTAAATAGTAATTTACTTTAATAAATTTAAAATTGTGTTTACGTGCTCTGCAAACATTCTTAAGAAAAAAATATTAATAAAATACACATGGGCATATCCAGTACACATGTTTTTATTAGCGTTATGTACAATTCTTATTTTTGTTATTTTTTATATTGAACATATTTTGTTTTTATCTCAAATATTAATTATTTAAATATTTTAGATATGTGAGTGTTAAGCTTAAATTCTTAACGAAAAAAACGTTATTGATGTTACTATAAAAGCATATCATAACAACTTGTAATAATGTCACTAACTTATGTATATTACCTATTCATTTTTTTTCTTTTAAATCACTTAATAGTTAAGCGTCTTCGCAAAATACCCGAAGTCGGAGAAAATTTAATCGAAGTTTATGGGGGCACGAGGCTATTTTTGGACAGTGGCTATAGTATATAATAATAATAATAATAAATTCTGTACTGTTATTGTATAATGTATGCCTTATAGTGATGAAAAATTAGAAGCTTGCAGGGTTGGACTAACTTTATAGCTCGGTCCGGACAAAATAATTTCGAACGGCCTCAATTGAACTTTATAAGTAGGTAGATACCTAATCAAATTATTGTTTAACTGAAAATGTATCTTCATATCTCAAAAAAAAATATTCACACAAATACATTTGAATATTTTCAGATTTAATGTTATACCTTAAATAAATCTAGTTTACGCATAATATCTTATCTATAATATTAATATAATGACCTACCTATTAAGATAAATTTTACACCAAAAAAAAAATGATTTGATTTAAATATGTTTATACATTTAATTTTAATTGAGTTAGAACAGTGGGGTCGGCAACTAATATCTCTTATGCGACCCACAGTAAATTTCAAAACTAGCAAATGTTAAATGAATATCATATAAATGTTTTATATTGTCTGACTCTAGAACCATTTTTAATTTGTGAATGTGGCGAAAAGGTCCATAAAGGTTGGAAACTAGTAACAGACTTGTTATTGATTGAACGTCAAAACTATTAAAATGTTTTTAAATAAAAGTCTAATAAATCTTATAAAAATTATTATTATCGAAAAACAATTTTGTTATCCCATATCTTGCGCGACAATGTCTACCCATACCATGGTCTTAGAAAATTAATCTTCTAAGACCGTGACCCATACCAACATTTTATTTTGATAAAATGTTGTTTGTACAAACGCGAACGGTAATTCGTATGATTAACATAGTGTACACATCTTTTGTATTCAAATTTCCTACAATTTTTCTATTTATAAATATTCTGATGAAATCATTGTTATCAATCGGTATATTGCGACATTAAATATGTTAAATTTTCAAACTCCAAGTTATCTAATCCTGTGTCACCGCATCCACTAGTAATGTCATGTTACAAGGCGATATTTTTTATTTTATTTTAAGAATAGAAGGTAGACGCATTAAACTAAAAACAAAAAATCTAAGTAATTTTATTTAAACAAAATTACAGCAGTCCACCGGCGCATACCCCGGTGCCCCGGTGGCCTAGTCCGACCCTGGAAGATTGCATATACCCAATGGCGGATTGGCCTATCGGGAAATCGGGAATCTTCCCGATGGTTTGGTCCTTGTTTGGGCCGCTCTATATTATTAGGTATATAATTACCAAAAAAAAAGTTTTATAAAATAAATAAAAATCATTAAAAAAATAAATATATATTTAAAGATGCATAAACATCAAACTTCAAGTTCAAGTTGGAATTGATGAATCATGTGACTTATCCAAAACTATTATAGCTATAATTATAGTTAAGTTATTGTAGATTTTACTAATTTAGGGGTGAAAATAAAAAATTTTTTGAAATTGATGCAAAATAAAGAATTTTTTAGGAGGGGGAGGGGTAAAATAGTTTAATTTACGGTTCATGGGCCGGTTTGTTTCATATTTCCTGGGCCGAAAATAATTACAAATCCGCCCCTGCATATACCCATTATGTACGAATGATTAGTTAGCGTATACTCATGATAGACGAATTTTCTTATAAGAATATACCTTTATAAAGGTATACGCATAATCCAAAAACAGGGATCCGAGTATACGGTGTATACCCGCGTATACCCTCCAATACACCACTGCCTCTAGAGATCGTTTATTTCATTCTAGAACCAGTAGTTTCATAATTTGAGTTATTGTAGTATTGAACTGAGGCGTCGATATGTTCAAGTGCAATATGTATTTAGTTGAAAATATATAAATGAGATCGACGTCACGGAAATCACACTTGTCATCATCGTTATATATCCACAGTTTATACGGATACATTTGCATATGGATATGTTTTATATACATAACAAATACGACTAAAATGTACCGTTTTTCTAACGATTTGGTTGACACATAATAAACTTATAGAAAAAATCATACTCAAAATTATAGTATCAACGGATTCGGTTAATTTAAAATATTTATTATGACTTTGACAAAGATTTAACTATTTCAACCAAATTATGTTATTGGGGAAACGATGCATTTTACTCATTTATACTTTTCACTCAACGAGTGTAAAATTTTGGACATTTTAACATAACCTCTGACAATAAAATAAATCTATATAAATAATTAAAAATGATAATAAATGTTTCACTTGTGATAATTTATTTTTAAATTAGTATTCGGTCTATTCGATAATCCCATAGGGACTTAGAATATTCTTATAATGAGTTTTGTGGTTTATCAGAACAAAATGTTTTAATCAACTATTTCGATGTTTAAATTATGGAAATTAAAATAAAAATCCTTCATATTTTAACTTACTTAATATTAAAAATTTTCTTTTTTTTTTTTAAAAAAAAGTTAATCAATCAATACATTTATAACAAATATATGTGTTTATGTATTATCTATAAAATAAATGTTTTAGTAATATCTTTTTTTTAGAATGAACTAACAAATAATATATTAGTAGTTATGTCTACTAGTACTTTTTATTTCATCACTATTTTAAATGAAAAATTTAAAAACATCTTATACCCAGGACCGCATTTAGGGGGGAGGCACGAATAGGTACATGCCCGGGGGTGTTAAATCTCAGGGACGACAAAATATTTTAGTAAAATTAATTTTAAAAATTATGTACCTAATGAAAAAAAAAAAATAGTATGTTTTATCATGTTATAATTTGTAAATTAAAAAAAAAAATTATTTTTATTATATTATAATTTGTTAATTAAAAAAAAATTGTATTTTTATTATATTATAATTTTTTAATTAAAAAAAGGAAATTGAATGTTTTATTATGTTATAATTTGTTTAATTTGTTAATTAAAAAAAGTACTAAATGATTTTCATTTATAAGTTTTATTTTAATATTAAAGAATCTCGATTATGGACGAAATAATAAGTGTTATATTATTATTATTTATTTTGGTGGAGGGGGCATAAATTATATGCCCGGTGACTCCAAATTTTTAAATACGGGCCTGCTTATACCATAAACTGTAAAACGATTCACTAAAATTGTTTGTTATTTATTATAGGTATTTTGGACAACTCTCTCATTTGCGTTAGGATATGAAATCGGCGGTGATGTAATTCGTGGAACACCGTGTATAAAAAAAAATCACCAATTGTTTTGTCCAACAGCAGGAAAAAGTTACCCAGTGTAAGTAAGTAGTAGCTAAACTACCCTTATATTTTTATATTTTTGTAAACAAACAAATAATTTCAAATATTATTATTTATTAAAGAATAAGATTACAAATCTTTATCAACTCCCATTCATCGTGGTTACATATACAAATCATATAGCAAGTTATTCTATACAATGAAATTTAATAATAAATAATAAATAATTTAATAATAATAATAATAAAATGAGAAACATTAACGCATAAATATTATTCGTGAATATTATTATATATAACATAAATGATCTGTCATATCAGAATCCATGGTTTCAGTGAAATAATCATTCACAGATTAGAATTCATAGTAAATGTTTATTTTTTGAACATTGAAATTGTTTTTATATTTAGCTTTAAAATAAAATATATTTTTAGTATATACCTTCTTCTTTTATTTTTTTTTTGAAATTTAGAGACCGAATCGATAGATTTATTGATGAAAATAAAGCGTTAATGAAACGTATGTACGGTGAATTTGAAATGATGGAGAACGGACCGTTTCCTAAAGCAAAAAGATCTACAGCTCGAAAAAGAAGACAGGATTCTAGTTTTTCAGATAACCAATCGAAGCCGAATAAGCTTCCCACAAGAGGACAGCCTCCAGATTCTGGAAGGTATATGATTTTGTTTTTAGCTTTATAAATAACATTCACGGTGATCCGATTGATTGCATAAAAACGGATGTTTGAAAATGTTTATATAAAATTTGTAGACACGATGACTGTTCAAGTATGTTTAATTTTTATTGAAATTCAATGATAGTCTTACCTCCTTCTTCGTCTCTATTCATATTAGATATAGTTAACCTACCGGTATGGTATAATATATTGTATATACACAGTTAGAGTTGTAGTATCACTGTGTGTTCTCAAATATTATTTTAAATATTACCATTCCCCTTTAAACCAAATTATTGTATTTATTTTCTTCCATATTTTCTTTTAACTCTACGTGTTTTGTTTTGCGAAATGTTTACATTATGTTTAGATCTTTGTAAATAATTGTGTTATACATTGACGAAAGAAAGAATCATTTTAAAGATTCGTTTAATTCGTTAAAATAAATCAACAGTTAACTATGTTTTTAAAAGTGATCGCCTAACAAATTATATGTAGTGTAATAACAGAATATTTTATTATTTTATCTAATAATCATACGTAAATACTAAAACCTCAACGTTGTAGTATACACTTCTATAACACACTTTTAGTTTTTCATTTTTGGTTAACAAATATCTAATAAGTTGTAGTAATTTAGGATTTATGGATAGTAACCGATCACTTAGACAAATTCAAATATTTAAGGTAAATTGATTTTTTATTGTTATAATGAATGTTTAACTGTAGTACTATAAGAAATTAAAAACACATTTTAAATTTAATGTCAAAGAAATTCCTCGAGAATACAATAAGATTAGTACCAGCGTCATTTTGAAAACCCACATATCTTACGTTCCACGAAAACGACAGTGTACTTTAGAAAGTTATTAGTCATAATATAAGATATGTGTTCCATCACAACGCTCTTAGCCATATTTACTCAATTTCAACCCATCATTATGTTATTCATGTTTCATAATATCAAGCAAACTCAAATTTTTTTTTACATTACGCCATTACTACGTCACCATAGTTGTAGGTATTACATATTGAACTATTTTAATTTATCTACTTGTATTGATTAAATTTATTTTGTAATATAATAGGACACACAGTGTTTAACCTTTAAGTACATCAGGTTAGACGAATTAAATGCAAACAGAATAATGGCTTCGTATTATGAAATATTATTACTATATTTTATTTTTTTGAGAAGGGATAAAATTGTTGCAAAATTAATCACAAATTTTTAAGATATTTTACATTAACTGAATACTCCAGGGATGTGAACTATTTTCTAGACGTTTAAGGTTATTCTATGTACAATAATAACACTTGATGTATTAGACCAATAGTTCTCAATTTGGTGGGTTAACCCCCTTGGGAGGCTTGACAAAATTTAAAAACCAAAAAAATCTGAAAACATTAATTTCAATTATTAATATTTTCTAGAGCATTATTGAATCATTATATTATTTTATATTTACACACACTATCATTTATTTATGCGCACTATCACAGTTGTCGCCTAATATTAAAAATGTATTAAAGATAAACAATTCCAGCTGTCTCATTAATTTATATTTCATTAAAATATGTTAAACATTTAATATTTAAAAATGTTCATACAATATTACAATGTCTATACTTTGTTTTATAAATTTTAAATTCGAATGATATTTTTTCCTTTTCAAATAAATTTACAAATACGTTCATTAAAATATAATAATTAGTACAATCATTATAATTCAATCTTAGTGATGAGAGGAATGGGACCTCATACAATCAATGAAGTATTTTCAGGAAGGTTCCCAGGTCTCGACTTCCCCCCCCCCACCACTACAGAAGAAAAAAATGTTCAAAATTCATAAATGACTTGCTGCGAAGGTACAGAGAAAAAGAACATTAATTTATATAATGTGGTTGTAAATAAATTTTAATTTGTAATTATAACAATAATAGACTAATATAATTATTTATTCGTACCTTATATGTATTTTTATAATATTATAAAATCACTGCCTTTTTTTAGAAAAATTTAAAAGTCCTCCCAATAAAAATTTAAAAATACGCCATTATATATAATAGTATGGAAGGGGGCAAAGACTTCAAAAGGTTAAGAACATATGTATTACACGGCATCAATAACGAAAATAACAGGTGTAATCAATTATGTTCGATTTAAAAATGTCACTTTAATAATAATAATAACACTAGTAACCTTTAATCAATATATCTACTATATTGGTCAATCATACATTGTAATGAATAAATATTTGATCTTATAGGATTGACTCTTGTGAGTCTAAAGTAGAAGTGGTCACGCCATATTGGGCTTCAAATAGCGTGGGTAAAACTAGAGCGATCGTCAATACCGAGCATTTCGAACAAGCTATTCATCAAGAAGTTTGCACGTGAGTTCAATCAAGATATTGACTTATTGTATAAAAAACAATAGAACAATAAACGAGAATTTCATACGACACATACATAGTAGATACATAGTAGAGCATGTGAACAAACTCGCATCACTTTGAACTTTTAAGGGCTTGTTGAATTCGGATGGTTTAAATTGGGCTTCTGCTCACCAGTAAAATTTGATAGAATTACTGTCAAAAAAACAAATAATTCGATTGAAATCTACGAGCCCCACAAATTGTACACACGATTCCGCATTTCTACACTAGTTCTTGTGAATCCACTAATATCGCGATAAATCGTCATAATACATCAGTTCAAGTATCAAAACTATTACTTGAGATAAACAATATTCACTTTATTTACTTTTAAATCATTTTAATACAATACAATTTCAATTAACACATTTTATGACCATTATACGCAAAAATTAAAAAAAAAAAAAAAATTGTCAGCTATCTGAAAAATAAATTTCGTTGATCATATCTTCAAATCAACGACTCGCCACTGGAACTTAGTACATACTAAGGCTATAATTTCTACGAACAAAAAATTGTTAGAAATGTATGATGTAATTTTTATTTTTAACCTATGTGAATTTGGAAAAAATAAGCATTTTCTGTAGGTGTTCGGTAGGGATGAGGAAGTAAGATTAAGTTAGGTTTATGAGTAAAATATTTAAATTACAAATTAAACTGTTTAACTTTCATATTGTGATACCACAAAAAAAAGTATTATATAATCGATTATCGAGAAATCGTAGTAGCAAAGTTATTGATGTTATAAAGTTGAACGGAATGTTACAAAACGTTCCATATTGTCATGTTATTATTTTTGTTAATTATAATATGAATAATATTCATATTTCATATAAACCAGTCATTTCGCGTCTTCAAGATAAACCATTTTTTTTTCCTACATAGAATTTGTAAAAACTCAGAAAAATTTCGGCGGGGGTCACAACCCCCAAACTCCAACCCTAGTTGCACCACTGATACCTATATTATTGTTCCTATTTATTATTTTTTATAAATTTATGTGGCATCTGTATTTAATTATGTAAATTGTATATTATTTTATGTTAAATTTTTTTTAGGGTTCAGCCCGTTAATAATAATAATTAAATAAAATAAGAATTCTTGGATAAATTCGTTTTAGATAAAATATAGGTTAACTATTTTAATTGCGCACTGGTTTTAAATTATAAAAATACAAAATATTTTTTATTTCATCGCGATGCATCATCATTGAATCGAGGATATACCTACATATTTATTTATATATTTAATAAACGAATGAGCTATAGGAAAATGTATCTATAATTATCTTTCATCGTTCAATGATGTAGCTTGTTCAATACCCATGTTAGTAATATAACTAAAAACCACCGTCCTCTAATAAAATGTGTTGTTGTAGCTTGTTCAATACCCATGTTAGTAATATAACTAAAAACCACCGTCCTCTAATAAAATGTGTTGTTATCGTCAAATGTTATTAATATTTAAATTATTAAAAGAGATTGCTCTAATTGGTCGTAATTTTTTAATTTAAATTTAACTATTTTTCTAAAACATTTGTAAAATTGCAAAATTCAATGACAATACGATTGTGTCATTAGTTTGTTACGAGATGAACTATTTTGATGTGAGTATCATTGTTAACTGTTTACAGCAAGATGCTAACCGGACGCTGTTCGGGAGATTGCGGATGCGAGCAGAAGTATAAATGGCACAGGTTGTTGGCATACGATCCCGATAACGACTGCAAAGGGATTTTCATGGATTGGTTTTTATTCCCTTCATGCTGCGTGTGCCGGTGCGATTCCACAGCTCCGAATAATGTTTGAACGAAAAACGTTATTATATAATATTATTACTATTATTATTATCATTATTGTAATTTTGTTCGCGCGCGTACATTTACAAATCATGTACTTAGTAGCTACTATTTTATCATATACACTATATACCTGTAAACATATTATGATATTTATTAAAATGCAATTACTGTACAGGATGTACTCATAAACGTTTCACATTATATAAATATCCAATGCCTATGTTAAAGCCATATAGTATATATATATTATCTATAAAATTATATTAAAGTCATTTCACATATATCTGTACATATATTATGTGTAGTCTATGGAATTATGTATAAACCTAGTTCAAGTAATATAGTTTTTCTAAATGATTAAATTGATAATATTTTTTTAAGTGGGTGTACCAACACGAATTAGTATTCATTTCGCGTACTAAGCTTAGCTTTTATTAAAACTATATAATATGTATAAATAATTCCTTTTTATATTTCAGGCTTAGTTATAATTAAACTGGTACTTTCATACCTATACTATATTAGACTCAATATTCCTATTTTATTTATTCCTATATTCCTTACTTCGTCCTGACAGCTTATAATTAACTCAACTGCTTAATTGTTTTTCTATCACAGTAAATTAGTACTCGAGGAACATGTGAATTACCTTTTCGTGTTTGTTTTAACGTTCTCCAGTTCGATATTATCACGGGCAAGCCAAATTTTAAGTAATTTCATTTTATTTTTTAAATCCAAACATTTAGGTCGAATTTTCATATGGATATACTCGATAAGTGGAATGAGAAGTGTCGTAACTAAAAAACCCGAAGCATGTGTGCAAATCAAAATCTTGAGGCCTTCTATCATTATGCATTTTTTCAATAGCAATTAAAAAAAAAATTAAATTTTTAGTAGGGGAGAGATTTTTTTAATTTAAAAATTTATAAATAACAGACCATACTAAATACATAAATAAATATGATAGTTTATTATTAAAATAAATAATTTATTCTAAACTATCATACTAGAGGAGCGTAAAAAAATTTACGTTTGAGAAATCGCGTGTGGAAAATGTACAAATTACGTCACCCCGGTATTATAATTCTAAGGATATCGTATTGGTATAAATTTTTGGGAATGTACCAGTTACCTCTAGAAGTACCTTTTTTACACAAATTCCCCCAAATTACCTAAAGAAAAATGTACCAGTTGCTCTCAACCGAATGTATATATACACGATTACAACATATAGCCCATAAAATATGGGAAGTAAATACACAAATAATAAATAAAATATAAAATTATTTATAAAAATAAAGTAGAATAGTATAAAATGATTAAATTTTAATATCTACAACTATATATGACATTGTATTTTGTAATAAATAATTAATATAATATATTATATTAAACAAATAATATGGATAAAATGAAAATTTTATTAATAATAATAGCCTACTTGGTACAAAGCGAGAATTTTACCAAAACGCATAGTTTTAGACGCGTCTAAGTGGATAGCCGATTTATAAGTAATGAGTTACGGCAATTATATTAGGCTTTATCGGAGTACGCTTGTTATTATAATTTATTATATTTGTATTAGTATTTTTATGATTGTTGGAAATCATTATGACACAATACATATATAGTATATATTATATACGTCTTTGTTTGGTATATTTTAGTAGATGAAAAGCACCGACATTGTTAACACGATGGAAAATATTACACATGTGTATAGTGAAAAGACAAAACATTTGTATAAAAATATAGTGTAAAAGAATATTGTGAAAAAAGAGGACATTTTCTTGGGGAGCTGTGTCATGGCGAATTCGATTTTTTACATTTAGCGGGGGGGGGGGGGGAGTAGCGAACAAATTCTGGAAATGGTCATACAAATTCATACAAACAGGGTATCACAGTATTCCATAAAAAAATGTTTGATTAGTCGAGGTTTTATAGGATGAGGGGCTGGGGACATATGTCTCCAGTTCCCTCCTCAGTATTTTGGTTATTACATAAATAGTTTTGTCGTACAAATTCTGAAACCTGAGTCATACAAATTCATATAAATTACGTACTAAAGGTTTTTAAAAAAAATAATCTTAAAAATCTCATAATGGGAAGCCAGTGACATGGACATATAAATGACAAAGCTTATACACACAACATTGTGTGCAATAACGTCGATATTTATATAGTTCAGCTAGTGACCGATAACAGCGATAAAGTTATTTCATTATTTTTTCTGATTTTATTTAATCGTAATTCTGTTTGTTGGCCAAAAAACTTCAAGATGTATGCAGTAGAGACTCTATTCATTCAATTTTGGTCTCATTGAGAGTCAACCTGCGATCTTCCAGCACAAGCTCTTCAATTTTCAGCACTGTTTCATCCGATTGTGACGGCCTGCCGCTACGCTCCTCGTCGTGGACGTTTAGGCGGCCAGCAGAAAATTCTCAACACCAATTTCGAACGTTTTTCACATTCATACATTTCTCACCATACACTTCTTCTAATTGACGATGAATTTTTATAGGTGGAATTTTTTTTGCGTGCAAAAACTTAATGAATGAACGTAACTCGAACCTGGCGGGAGCATTAACCGGTATCTCCATCGCCAACGACTGCCACGTCGAGACTGAGCGTCCTAATGAGCTTCGCTAGGTGTCGATTGGTGGAGGGGGACCACACATATACAACAGTGTTGCCGGATTTCACCTAGCGCTACTTGCGGTGATACTGTGGCCTTGAAGACCTTACTTTAAATACACGCCTCGTACTTTACACGTGTTCTAATGATATCCAAACAGCTCCAAACTGATCCGAGCTGCTCGGAGCAGTTTTGCTCTTTAGGTGTGCGCCCAGATTTACCTACCAAATGGTAATTTTTATAGAAGTTAGTGAATAATAGCTAGTTTATAGAAGTGGTTAATGCCATAATTTTTACAAAATCAATCCTTGAAATTTGATTATTCTTAAATTTATTAATATTTTCTGCGATGAATGCAATTTTGTTATTAGTTGTTCTTTTTTTCTTCATAGTATTTTTTGCGGTTACTTTAATTGCAATTTTTTGAATTTTTTTTAATATTTCTAAAAATGTATAAATATCTAGATGTTGATAAAAAAAAAAACGAATTAAACTTGTAATGGAAACTCTCACAGGTGTTTGTTGTTCTTTCAGAACTACTTGTCATTTCTGCCCACATAGAAATTGGAAATTCTGTTTCAGAAACAATATAATTTTCTGTTAAATAATCCATAAAATCTTTAAGTTTTTTAAGTTTTTTATGTTCTGACATTATGGACATAAAGTCTTCAACAAAACATTTCTCAACATCATCTTAACGAAATTTCTGTTATAACAAAAAAAAATTCGGTCACTTGGACTTTTTTGTAACGGAAACTTACGCAATCGAGCTCTTCAGTTAAAGTAGTTGATAAAACCTCGGACGCACTCAGACTACGAAAAAGGTGAAAATTAAAAATGAGATGCACTCGGGAAACCCCCCTATATGTTGTTGGTAACGTTTCATTTACTTTAGTGATGGTAAATATTTCCGTCTACCAGTTGGGTATATATCTTTTGGTAAAAACACCTTTTTTGGTACTTCTACGAACTTTTTCACCTATTTTGAATTTAGATTTTTTTTTCGGATATCTTACGTTGATTTAATACGATCGATGCAGGGTTATAGTTGCTGAAAACAGAAGGTACGAGTATATGAAGGCTATCCTATATGTATCCTTAAGAATGTTAGCAATACAAGGTCAGGGTTTCCGTGGCCATAATGAAAATGAGGCTAGTCTGAACAGAGGTAATTTTATAGAAATTATGAATACTATAGAATTATTTGATAACATAGTTAAAAATAAAATTAACGGTTCAAAAAATACAAAATATTTGCACCACTCAATACAGTTGTCATATAGTGCTCGTTAAGAAAGGACGTGCTTATTGTTATAGTTTTGTTTGTTCGCTTATCTCGTTTTTCATAATTGCTCATATACCTTTATTATTTCATAATTTTACTACTACGTGGTGATTTCTTTCAATGGCTCAGAGTATGGATTGCTCAGTGTGCAACATTCGCTTTGCTGAACTTGACATCCCTATAAAATGCAATAGTTGCTCACTACCGGTTCATAGTAAATGCACTAAACTCTCAGCTATGGAACTTAAATGCCTTGGTATGAAAAATGGATCCTTAAAATATTTCTGTGATGCTTGTGATCAAGGATTGAAAGAGTTGCCGGAGCTAAAAGCTATGTTAAGAAAACTACTTTTCGAGGTCGAAAGTTTGAAAAACTCTCATACTCAGAACACTGCAGGTACTCAATTTGATAGTGAAGTTATAATTAATGAAATTAATGAACGTAATAAACGCGCCTCTAATCTTATATTATATAATATTAATGAGAGTGATTCAACCCAATCTGATTTACGTATAACCCATGATCTGAATCAAGTAAACATCGTTATCAAATCTATTCTTAATAATACTTCAACACTGCCGTCACCTGTTAAGGTCATTCGCCTCGGGCGTTCTCAATCAAACAAACCTCGACCGTTAAAAGTCGTGTTTAATTCTGTTTCTGATGTATTTGATATTCTCAAGAATAAAAGAAACCTCTCAACCGATCATCCAAATATTAGTGTAAGCTCTGATCGTACACAAATTCAAAGAAATTATATGCAGAAACTACGTGAACAATTAACTACGCGCTCATCAAATGGAGAAAATGGACTAACAATCAAATTTATTAAGGGAGTGCCTAAAATTATAAATAAATCTGAAATAGTTGATAATTCTTCTCAAAATATAAAACCATTTTTTTGAATTTACATGTAATTTACCAAAATGTTAGAGGTCTTAGGACTAAATTAAATTTTTTTCGTGATTCTGTTGCTAATTTAAATTGTGATTTTTTATTTTTAACTGAGTCATGGCTGAATGAAAATATTTGTAATGTAGAATTGGGATTAATAAATTTTAATATATTTAGATCAGATAGAGTAAATAGTCACCAAGTAAGAGGAGGAGGAGTTTTATTAGCTATTAATCAGAAATATTGTTGTATGCGTATTCCTACTACATATATATGTGACATTGATCAGGTATTTGTTTTGGTAAAATTTAAAAATTATAATTTATTATTGGTTTGTGTTTATATACCTCCAAACTCTCATATTACTGTGTATTCTAAGTTTTGTGAAGCGGTTGAAAATATTGTATTAACATATACTAATTTGAAAATATTAATTATTGGGGATTTTAACTTAGCTTCGGTTTCATGGGTAAAAAATAATTCAATGCTAAACCCTATATATGAAGTTATTAATAATAGTTTTATACAATTACTGGATCTCACTCAG